GCAGGGTCAGACCATCCACAGCTCTCATTACGCTGCCTTGATGATGTCAAACAGTGGTTGTCATTAAATTTTTTAAAGCTAAATGAAAATAAAACTGAGGTTGTCATTTTTGACAACGTTAATCATATCGACAGCACTCTGGGCACCCTTTACTCGTATTGTAAACACATGTAAAAAAAACCTCGGTGTCTACATTGATGGTTCTTTTAAATTGAATAAGCAGGTGAGTGCAGTAGTTCAGTCCTGCTTCTTTCAGTTAACGTAGCTAGCCAAGGTAAAGCCATCCCTCCCGGCTAACATCTTTGAGCGTGTTATTCACCTTTTCCTTACTTGCAGATTGGACTACTGCAATTCGTTGTATTATGGTCTAGATCAGGCCACCATCCACCGTCTTCAGCTGGTTCAAAATGCAGCTGCTCGCCTGCTAACTGGTACCAAACGGAGAGAGCATATAACCCCAGTTTTAGCTTCTTTACACTGGCTTCCTGTCTCCTACAGGATCCAATTTAAACTTTTACTTTTTGTTTTTAAGTCACTTAATGCCTGAGCTCCTCCTTACCTGTCTGAGCTCCTCTCTGCCTATGCTCCAGGAAAAACCACGAGGTCTAGCTCAAAACTAATGCTATCCATCCCACGGACTAACCTCACATCCCGTGGTGATAGATCCTTCTCTGTGGCAGGTCCCAGACTTTGGAATAGTCTCCCCTTAAATATTAGATCTGCACAAACACTTGAGCAATTTAAATCATTACTAAAGACACATTTCTATGCCCTGGCTTTTAACACACTATGACCCAGGCATTCTGGTCTTATTTGAATTAGTTTTAGTTATTGTTTTAATTCTTTTATTGTCCTATTATTGTTATTATTGTTTTACATTGTTGCTTTTTAATGCCACTTTCATATTTTTAAGCACTTTGTGCAGCAACGGCTGTTTGAAATGTGCTATATAAATAAATTTGACCTTGACTTACTGTTTAGGAGCAACTGTGACCACATAATTTCCTCTGGGAACAACAAATTATTCTGATTCAAGCCTAAAAAGGCTCCTAACACAAGGAACGAACCAGTATTCCCTGACTAATAGTGAGTGGCTGTTGGAGGATGATGGCAGTCACCAGGAAATGGTTTGCAACAATATTTTTTAGTCTTTAATTTGAAAAACAAACAAACAAACAAACCAGAAACTAAACAGTTTTCGTCCAAAAAAATCCTCATTCACAGTTATTGGTGTTTCTTGTCATTTTATGTTAGACGTGTTAATTCTGCTTTGGTAATTGTGTTGATATCTATTTAAAATAACAGGAAAATTCTGTGAAAGGGAAAAAAAAGTATTAAAATGTGTAGCTAATAATAATAATAATAATAATAATAATAATAATAATAATAATAATAATAATAATAATAGATACCTATTCGTATATTAAAGTAATACTTTCTGACAGTATATAAGTAAGAAAATATTCTGAAAGTCCAGTAGGGGGCAGCAGAGCACACGGTGTTGTTGAAGAACCTTACCCTTACAATATAACTGTTGTAATGTGGTACTTACTATACAGATTAGATGAAATCCTTCTGACACAGTGAGAGTGAGAAAAAATGTTCTCAGGTTGAAACATGGAAAATGTTAAAGACAAGAAGTTAATGTGCACTGTGTGTGTTTAAAGGTTTAATTTCGTTTTTAAAGACCTGTCATCAAATCATTTTATTTGCTGTAAATGTTTTTATGTCTGGGAAGAGAGTATGTAACTTAAATATCTATTAATCTAATTTTTAATATTTCTAATAATCCTTTCACCCACTCGACGGCGTACAAAGATCCTGCGTGATGAACCGTAGGTTTCAGATTTTGATCCATCAGCCCATAAAACCTTCTTGCAGTCTTCAGTAGTCCAGTGTCGGTGTTTCATGGCCCAGACGAGCCTCTTTGTCTTATTCGGGCTTTCTTGCTGCAACTCGTCCTGTCAAACCTGCAGCTTGAAGTTTTCTCTTCACAGCTGAAACTGAGACTTTCTCACTACGACCACTATGAAGCTGCTTGAAGCTGCTGTCCTGTGAGCTGCTGATCACACAGCTGTTAACTCTCAGAAACTCGTCCTCTGAGTCAGTCGTGTCTTTGGGTCTGCAGACCTCCTGCTGTCACAGTTTCTGAGCCTTTGATGCTGAAGGAAACTGGACTCACTGACACCTTGACTTTCTTTGCAGTCTCTCTGTAGGACAGACCGACATTTATAAGTGTTATGATGGTCTGTGTCTCTTCCACTGTTAATTGCCTCTTTCTCACCATGTTTGTAGCAACACACTACTTTCTGCAGGACAATAGTGTTCAGCTGATGCTCACGAGGGTACATCAGTGTGTCCCAGCACTGCTTTTATGCAGACAGAGGGGGAAGTAATCCAGAAAAGTTGGACCAGCTGTAGGAATTAGTAGCACCAGCTTACAAGACTTGATCAACCTCCATTGCTGCAGAACAGCTTTAAACTGTTAACCCATGTTGTCCCTGAAAAACGTCTTTTGTATAATTCTGAAATGCACATTATTCTTCAGTTTTGGCCAACCTTACCTTTCATAACCTTTGGCAGTTCAGCACTTACCTTTGTACCTTAAACTGTTCATTGGACTTGAATGACTTGAAGAGCTGGAAAGATTGGGGCATTCTGAAACTCTTGACCAGTATATATTGTAGTGTATATGGCAGGTTGACTTTGGGATGCTTTTAACTAAATGTAAACATTTATGTTACCATTAGTGTTTGCCCTGATCAACCTACTTTATTTTCTTGTGAAAAACTCTTGAATATGGGCATGAGTCGCCAGTTTGTGGACCAAAACAGCTTTTCAGAGCTGTGAAAACATGGAGAACACGGGCATTATCTGAACCATTGAAAAAACCCTCAGAATGCTGACTTTGCTGAAATGCAGCCAGTGCAAGTACATCTGCATCCGGTAGCAACCCTGAACCCTAACAAGCTGCCTAAACTGCCCCCAAAACATCCCAACCCAGCTACCCAGCCCAGTTGCTCTTGGCCTGTGGGTGCATGGAGCGGCTAAGCCCCCGTGTTCGCTGGCCAAAGCCCTGTGGGATTAGACCCATTCAGGCAGCGGGAAGCCACTGGTGGAGAAACAACAGACATGGGAAGTGACCCTTAGCTATAAATTAGAATTCTGAAGCTATGCCTTACTGTGATAAAATGTATATTTCTGTGTAAAGGCTTCTGTCACATCACAACTTTATCTGTTACAGTAGAACAACTGAAAGTGTGTGAGGACATTGGGACCAGACCCCTTTATGTTTTTAAGTCATTTGTGTCTCTGTTTGTGTGAGTCTCACTTTCTTTCACCGTCACTCTGCCAAAACTGATCTTATGCTGCACAAGACCAGGCCTCTTGTTTATGAGCGCTGTGCTTGGTCCTTGAATATCACCTCGTGCAGAATAGACCCAGTATGAGGAACTTCATCTGCCATTTATATATAAGGCTCTGCAACATTGCAACAACACCAATGGTTTATTTGTATGAAACTACTTTATTTGTTATGTACGGAGACATGGTCCAAAAAATCAATAAATCGTGCCCACAAAATACTGCTTCGTGCCCACAGATAAGCATTTTGTGCGCACGTTATACATATTTCATGCCCACGAAGTAGTATTTTGTGGGCACAATGTTTTGATTTTTGGGACCATGTCATCAGAGGGGCTCCGAGTTATGCGCCGTACAAAACAGAAATTAAATCAAATAGCAAAAAAGAAAACTTACTGACCAGCCCTTTGAAAGTTAACCATCACTCATGGTGCTGCATCATAATGACGTTGGTCTAGGACTGACCAATCCCTGGTCTGGTCATTCAGTTAGCATTAGCCAAGAAGTCGGCTAATGTTAATCAACATGAGTAACCCAAATATGGCTGACAAAAAACCGAACTTGGTCATATAGTTGTTCTACTGCATAATTTAAACAGTTTCTCCGTCTTCAACACCAACACTGAGACATCAGACAGACCCGCTGTCCTTTGGTCATTGCTGTCCACGCTTTAGTTGTTGGACAGGTTGTGTGGCTGCAAACATTCACCACGCTGACAGGTGCTTGTGTTGGTGCATCGCAGCCAAACATCTACACTTGCACAGACCAAACACACCATATTTCCCCAGTCTTGGCTCATTTAAACTGGCTTCCAGTACGTTGTTGAATTGATTTTAATGCTTGTTTTTAAATCTCTAACTGGATTATCTCCATCATACCTCTCTGATCTGATAACTAATAATACTCCAAAGAGAACTCTCAGGCCAGCTGACAGGAAACAGGAAACACAGATCGGGCCTCTGCTGCACCCAAACTTCTCTCCGACACTTTTTAAAACCTGTTTGAAAACACATTTTTACTCTCTAGCTTTTGATTGTGACTGAGTTTTGTTTTGTTCTTTGTGCGTGTTCGAGCTACTTTTTTACTATCTACAGCACTTTGGTCAACCTGTTGTTTTTAAATGTGCTTATCAATAAATGGATTGATTGTTCCTCAGGATTTTGCTGTGCTGCCATGCTCTTTATAGAAAGAAGAGGCTTTCTCCTAGAAGCCCTTCAAGCCATACTTGTTCAGTCCTACTCTTGTGAACTTTAACCTGCTAATTGAGGACTGTAGAGTATGACATGCAGCTTCTCTCAGTACTGATGGTCCGACCTTGGGAAGAATTTGCGAGGCCTGCTGAGGTCCAGACCGGTTTTATTTCCCCCTCATTGTAAAATGCTGGAATTGAAGGGCACACTTCCTTTCTCACATTTCTCTGTCAGCTGTTGTTCCATTGACTCTGGACTGCATTGTTACTAAATCTGCCCGTCATCCAAACACACAGGCAGAACAATACCACAGCATTATGTCACCGACTGACTGACAGAACAGATCTACGTGTATGTGTGTGATGCTTTGTCACACAGGTGAAATCCCTGTGTGTCTTTAGTTGGCTTCCTGAGCTCATTGTCTCTCCCCTCCTCCTCTCCGTCTAGCACAGTTTGTTTTGGCAGCCCCGGGTGTCTGATGTGACTACCGCTGCGTCCCAGCAGGGACTGGACCTAGTGGTGCCCCCCCATCCTCAACCCTGATTCTGCTGACAGGGCCCAACCCACCATGCTGAGATAATGCCATTCCAGAGGGATCGTGGCTAAAGCCTCTCTTTCTGGCTCTCAGGTATATAAAGAGGAGGCAGCTGTAGAGAGGGGAGCAAAGCACTCTGAAAGCCTTCTTCAGCCACTGCTTTACCGCCACCGTTCTCCCATTCTTACCTCATCTCCATTTTTCCTCTGCTGGATTCCCCACCAAGCCAAAGTAGACCAGACTGTCTTCAGTTGCCATGGATATTGCCATCCAGCACCCCTGGTTCAGACGTGCCCTGGGCTCTGTCTACCCTGCCAGACTCTTTGACCAGTTTTTTGGAGAGGGCATGTTTGATTACGACCTCTTCCCTTACGCCGCCTCCACCATCAGCCCCTATTACAGACAGTCACTCTTCCGCAACGTTTTGGATTTTTCCAACTCTGGGATCTCAGAGGTAAAAAATATGGATTTAGTCTCATATTCTGTGGTTATTAGAGGATAGACGGCGTACATCTTTTGTTTAATACATACTTGTATTTTGTCTTGAGTTTAGTTAGACTGAAAGCTAACATCTACTGTGCTCCATACAACATAGAGTCAAGAAATGAAGTTGTTGACCTAAAGTTTCAGAAGTTAAGGTCAAGAGATGTTCTCTGTGTCTGTCTCCCTCAGGTGAGATCTGACAGGGATAAGTTCACAGTCTACTTGGACGTCAAGCACTTCTCTCCCGATGAGCTCAGTGTGAAGGTCGCTGACGACTATGTGGAGATCCAGGGCAAGCATGGAGAAAGACAGGTAGTCCTCCTCTCGGATGCACACACCACGAGTGAGTGAGTTAGACTCATAGGACGTAAAGGCTTCCTGAGGGATTTTCCAACACGAGTCAGATCACTGATCAGAGATGTAGCAACAAACCACACGTACGTACGTAACCACGGTGCTTAGACATACAAACCTGTTTATGTTAGACTGTGAGAAAGTTCCCTGTAATATGTAGGAAAGGTAAAAGGATGTATTTGATCACATGAAGATGCCTTCTGTGTTGTTATGGGGTGTAATAGGTGTGTAGCTAGGTGTCCTCTAGCCTGGACATTATCATTTTATTTTGTGTTATTAGTGGAAATGAAAAGAGGAAAAACAAGTCATGTTGGACTGAAAAGACTAAATAGACATTTAACACACAATACTAACTTATCCTGGCTCACAACAACTCCACTCAGTTTGTCACCCGTCTTAATAGACCTGGGTTGGTCTCTTACTTTGAAGGCTGAAACCCTCAGCAGTTAGCAGGAAGCAGTGTGTGCTCGCTCTCTCGTGAGAGTGAGCTGAGTGAAGCTTTCCCTGGACTGACAACGGCTTCATGGCATCAATACTGCTGTTTTTCAGGACGACCACGGTTACATCTCCCGTGAGTTTCATCGCCGTTACCGCCTCCCCTCTAGCGTTGACCAATCATCCATCAACTGCACCTTGTCAGCTGACGGTCTGCTGACTCTGACCGGACCAAAGGTCAGCGGGGGGAGCGACTCTGGCCGCAGCGAGCGCAGCATCCCCGTGACTCGTGACGATAAGCCCAACGCTGCCGCCTCCTCCTAGAGGCCAAGTGCTGGTGGGTGACCCGGGGCACTGAAGGAGCTCAGCCCCGTGAATAACCAGCATCAACTGGGATGGACGACTCCAGAATTCTTCTTTCCCCCTTTCCTTAGAGGATATCTGTGTCTTCCCTGCTTCTCTTTCTATAGTTACTTCTTAACTCATTAGTATCACTGTTTAAAGTATAACAAAAATCGGCCCGCCAAGGCAGTCGAGTAAGAGGCGCTGGAGTTTTTAAAGAGAGAAGTCATCTGGAGACACTCACATGGCCCAGCATGTTTCAGAGCAGTCCTCTGACAGGCTTTGAGCTTGAAACAAACATGTTCTGTACCAGCCCTGGTTTCTCCCATTCATGTTCTTCCTCTGAAGCCTTTGTCTCACATATATCCTGTACTGAAGTCTAAGCTTTGTTCAGTGGATATCTGCTCACTATTCAAGTCCATACTAAAGAAGCAATAAAGCTGTACAATTAACAAAATGCAACTCCTGTGTGGTCTTACTCCTTTTGCCCTTCTTCTTATCAGCTCAGACTTTGTTTTGATGAATCAGGAAGAACAGAGAGAGTTTCTATAAGATAACAATGATTTCAGTGAAGCGATTTTAGCAGAGTATACAGAGGGTGAGTGACGTCTGCTCGTGCCTTTAGTCCATGGATACAGCTCAGTGTGTGCAGCGTGGGGGTGACTGCACAGAGAACAGATCAGTGCAGAAGACCTTCAGAGCAGTTCAGTCCTGTGCTTCTGCTGTACTGACACGACACAGACACACTGCAAACATCTTTACTAGGACAGGTTTAACAATGCAGATCTACATGCACTTTAAGCACTAACAATGCACAGCAGTGTGAACATACATAGAAGCTGAACGGTGAACAATGCAGTGAGAAAGGCTCTTCTTTCACTTCAAGTCCTCCCTCGTCACACACGGCTCTGTTTGCAGGCCCGGCCCTGGAAACACACCATGTCACAGTCTGTGCTCAGAAAGGTCAGGGATGGATGTCACGGTGATGTGAGGAAGGGACAAGTGTCTACATTTGCATGCAGTGCACAATCACACCAGCTTTAGACTTTAGATCTGCCCGTGTGAGACATCAGTGCAGTTGCTTCTCTATTCAGCAAAACAGAGACTAACAGCCGAACCTAAAACACACTAACTAGTGCTTTCACTAACTGTTATGTGATAAATTACCAGGTGTGAAGAAAAGTAGCAGTGAAAGACTCAGATGCTAACAAAAGAAGCAAAACAGGTGAAGTTAACCTGAACACATACCAAGTCCTCATTTCTGTCCTGACAGAGTTAGTGTGGTAAACACAATGACTGCAAGAGCAGGGAAGCAGGGTTCATCATACTGTGGTACCTGTTGGAAGGCCTGGAGGTCCTCCAAGGTCTGCAGAGCAGTCAGTCTCAGGCTTGGCTGCGTGCTGGCAGCGAGCCTGCTGACGCGAGCACACAGGTCTGGATCCAGGAGCGAGGAGCCCAACAGGAGCAACACATCGTCCTCTAACAACATGGACTGCAGGAGACGCAGGGAGTGGAGACACACCTCCCAGTGTCCGTCTACAGACACACAAATTAGATCCTGGAATACACAGTCTGTGACACTGACAGTTTATTCAATTAACTATATCAGTGTCATTGAAGGTTAGACTTGAGACGGGTTGTAGGCCAGAGCTAGAGCACAGTGTCTGCACAGTGTCTGTGAGTGATGGGCAGACACTGTTGTTGTTGGAGCATGCAGCAGCTTACCATCAAGCAGGCTCCAGATGAGAGGGAGGATTCCTTGGTTCTCACTCAGGTACTTCAGTCCTTTGAGACTGATGCTCACGTTATAGAGCGCCATCAGCATCAACCTGCAGCAAAGCATCACCGTAGTGAACAGCAGTCCACACTGCAGAGAAACACTGACATCTAGTGGCCACAACATATCAACACATTCAGATCCCTTTTAAGAGCTTTTAAAAAAGAAGTTTAATAAAATTCCAGTGAGTGAGTGGTGGTTGGTCAGCACTGTGAAACTATGATGTTCGTCAAGTTTGTGGGTTTCATTGTGGTCGTATGAGCTCTGCACACTGTTGCAATTACAGGTATTTACTTTAGTAGGTCCCTTTTTACTAACACATACCACACACAAACATTACAAACTCTTGGTCGCTATAATAATAATAATAATAATAACTCTATTTATAAAGTGCTTTCAAACAAAGTGCTGTGCAGCAATTTGAAACTAAAAAGATGAATAAATAAAAGCGATGAATAGCAGTACAAGTAAAACACAATACAAGTTAAAAACAGTAAGAATTTAAAAACTAAAAGCCACAGAATTAAGACCTGTACACAAATGTGTGTTCAACACATGGAGCACGGGGTGGAACATGAAGGTGTAAAAGGTGCCAGTCCGTTTAAAGCCTTGTAGGTGAGCAGCAGGACCTTAAAATCTGCTCGAACCTGACGAGGTAGCCAGAGATCTCAGAACAGGGTAATGTGCTCAAATTTCCCAGTTCTTGTTAAAATGCGAGCAGCTGCATTTTGCACCATCTGTAGACCTCTGAAACTTTTCTTTGGAAGCCCAGAAAGGAGAGCGTTACAATAATCAATACGTGAAGACACAAATACATGGACAAGAACCTCTGCAGTGTCGCTTGACATAACCTGTCTGATTCTGGCTATGATCACTTTAACTTTCTACTAATATGTCAATGAAAACAGAATCTGCATCTTTCTATCCATGTGCTGCTGATGATCAGGGTGCAGCCAGCATGGGCAACAGTGTGAGCAGACATGCCCAAACCTCCATCTCCCACTGAACATCCTTCAGCTCTTATCATAGGACACCGAGGCATTCCCAATTGAGAGACATCCCAGCTGGACATCTCTGAAATATCTCACATATGAAGGGTACCAGTGAGGTGGCTGCACCGTATCAAATGGCTCCAATCCTCGTGGAGAAGCAGCAGCTTTAATCCGTGTTGGAACTACTTATGTTGTTTGTCTTAATAAAATGTTAGAACTTCAATGCTAGAAGGAAGCTCAGGAAACAAGGAGAGACATCAGAACACAGATCAAGTTTTTAGACACGCCTTTGTATCAGTTTGAAAAGCTTATGTTACGTCAAAGTGTCCATGTTGCCCAGCAGGGCGACAACAATACTCAGCCTTTTATAGCTGAGGGATAAGAATGATGACAAAGGAGGCACAAAACCTGCAGCCCAAACTCTTCTACAAACTGTTACATGGATTTTATATTGTACAGAATGAGAAGCCAATAGTCACTCACAATTACAGCAGCTGGAACTGCATGGAAACCTGGACCTACAACCCTCTGGAAACCAGATTCCAGCTGTTATCAGCTTTTTAATAAACATTGTTGACCTTACTGGTTATAAATGGGATCATTCATCTTGGCAGACTTAGACTGATGAACTGATGAGTATATAATTATACTATACTGATGTTTATACCAGAGAAGATCTTAAAATGGAGCGAGTACGTTTAGCTCATAGCATTACCGTTAACTGTCACACTACAAAATCTAACTCAAATAAAGTCCAAACCTCTGTGAACACTCTTTAAATGGAGAGTCCTCTTCACACACTGAGGTTAATTATGGAGTTCCACAGGGTTCAGTGCTAGGACCAATTCTGTTTACATTATACATGCTTCCCTTAGGCAGCATCATTAGAAGACATAGCATACATTTACACTGCTATGCAGATGACACCCAGCTCTATCTCAAATTCAAATTCAAATTTTATTTGTCACACACACACAACCATACACAGTATGACATGGGGGTGAAATGCTTGTAGCTGTACAATGCCCGACCATTAAATGACAGAAGAAAAGTTTTACAATATTTACAATTTACTACAGAAATTTACAAATTAACTTAGGAATTTACAGTAAAGAATGTGCAAATAGCAGAAGAGATTATAAAGATAAGGATTATAAATTATAGGAATTATAGGATTATAGGAAATGTGTGGTGGTGCGTGTGGTGACGTGTGTGAGAGTCCAGTCTTATAGTGACGTGTTTGGGAGAGTCCAGTCCTACACCTGGTTCAGGGCCCGAATAGCCTGGGGGAAGAAGCTCCTCCTCATTCTCTCTGTTTTGGCCTTAAGGGAGTGGAAGCGCTTCCCAGACCTCAACAGTGAGAAGAGTCCATTGTTGGGATGGGAGAGGTCCATCATAATCTTCCTAGCTTTGGACTTGCACCGCTTGGTGTAGATGGACAGCAGGTCAGGGAGCTCTGATTGAATGATGCGTTCTGCCGAGCGCACCACCCTTTGCAGATCTCGTCTGTCCTGCTTGGTGCTGTTCCCAAACCAGGTGCAGATGTTTGACGTCAGGACGCTCTCGATGGTGCAGGAGTAGAAGTTCTTGAGCACGTTCAGTGGCAGATGGAAGTCTCTAAGTCTTCTGAGGAAGAAGAGACGCTGACGGGCTTTCTTAACCAGGGTGTTGATGTGACAGGACCATGACAGGTCCTGAGTGATGTGGACACCCAGGTATCGGAAACTGTCCACTCTCTCCACTGGCGTGCCACTGATGATGAGGGGTTTGTAATTCCTCGCCTGCTTTGTAGTGAAGTCCACGATCAGCTCCTTAGTCTTGCTGATGTTTAGGAGGAGGTTATTCTCCTGGCACCAGGTCTCCAGGTTCCTAATCTCCTCCAGGTAGGCCGTCTCGATGTTGTCGGAGATCAGGCCCACAACAGCAGTGTCGTCAGCAAACTTGACAATGGAGGTGGTGTCTGATTTGGTTACACAGTCATAAGTGTACAGTGAGTACAGCAGGGGGCTTAAAACACAGCCCTGAGGCACTCCAGTGCTGAGTGAGATGGAGGGGGAGACTTGTTTTCCTACCCTCACTGATTGGGGTCTGTCTGTGAGGAAGTTGAGGATCCACTGACACAGTGATGAGCTGAGTCCTAGATCCGTCAACTTGGTGAAAAGCTTAGAGGGAATTATTGTGTTGAATGCTGAACTGTAGTCCACGAATAGCATCCTAACATAATTCCCTCTGCCAGTGTCCAGGTGACTCAGGGATGTGTGGAGCAGGTGAGATATGGCATCGTCTGTGGAACGATTAGTCCGGTAAGCAAACTGAAGTGAGTCGATGGTGGCAGGAAGTGAAGAAGTGATGTGATCTCTCATCAGTCTTTCAAAACACTTCATCACAATTGAAGTCAGTGCTACTGGACGGTAGTCATTGTGGCAAGCGGGCTGTTGTTTCTTTGGAACAGGGACAATAATGGACTGCTTGAAGCACGTGGGAACCACAGTTTGGGCCAGGGAGAGGTTGAAGATCTCCGTGAACACCGGTGCTAGTTGATCAGCGCAGGCTCTAAGGACCCGGCCAGGGATTGCATCTGGTCCTGCTGCCTTCCTGGTGTTCACCCTCCTGAAGGTGTTCCTCACGGCATGCTCTGTGATGACGAATGCATTTTCTTCACTGGTGCACTCCGAGCGCGCGCAGCCGTTTGTTGTTTTAATTGCTGCGGCGTCGAAGCGAGCATAAAACGTGTTCAGCTCATCAGCCAGTGAAGCATCGGCATTCATCATTGAAGAAGCTGGTCGTTTATAGTCCGTTATAGTCCGCAGTCCTTTCCACAGGCTCCTAGAGTCGCACTGTCGTAGCTGTGACTCTAGTTTTTCCCCGTAGCTCCGCTTTGCCTTTCGGACCACGCTGCGCACGTTGTAGGACGCAGCCTTGTATAGGTCCATATTACCAGAGACAAGCCCTTCATTGTAGGCAGCGGTGCGTGATCTCAGAGCGTCGCGGATGTTTTTCTCCACCCACGGCTTCTGGTTGGGAAACGTTCGGATGATAGTTCTTTCTGCTGTGTCGTCCGCTAGTTTCCCGATAAATCCCACAACCGCTTCCGTAAACATGTTGATGTCATCAGAGCTGCACCGAAACATGTCCCAGTCTGCGTCATCCATGAAGCCAGATAACACACACCAATTAGTTAAACTGCAGGAATGTCTTAAAGACATAAAGACCTGGATGGCCGCTAACTTTCTGCTTCTTAATTCAGATCAAACTGAGGTTATTGTACTCGGCCCTGAAAATCGTAGAAATATGGTATCTAAGCAGATTCTTCCTCTGGATGGCATTACCTTGGCCTCCAGTAACACTGTGAGGAACCTTGGAGTCATTTTTGACCAGGACATGTCCTTCAAAGCACATATTAAACAAATATGTAGGACTGCTTTCTTCCATTTGTGCAACATCTCTAAAGTTAGAAATATCCTGTCTCAGAGTGACGCTGAAAAACTAGTTCATGCATTTATTACTTCCAGGCTGGACGACTGTAATTCATTATTATCAGGATGTCCAAAAAACTCGCTGAAAAGCCTTCAGCTGATCCAAAATGCTGCAGCAAGAGTCCTGACAGGGACTAGAAAGATGGTAAATGGACTGATTCTTATATAGTGCTTTTCTACTCTCCCGGAGTGCTCAAAGTGCTGTATACAACATGCCTCATTCACTCAATCTCCCAACTGCCCACACTGACTCTAAACTGAGCGCTTTTATAACAAAACTCACACTCCGATGGATGCATCGGAGAGCAACTTGGGGTTAGTATCTTGCCCAAGGATACTTGGCATGCAGACTGGAGGAGCCAGGGATCGAACCACCAACGTTCCAATCAGTAGGTGACCTGCTCTACCTCCTGAGCTACAGCCACCCCGAGAGAAAGAGAGAGCATATTTCTCCTGTTTTGGCTTCCCTTCATTGGCTTCCTGTTAAATCCAGAATTGAATTCAAAATCCTGCTCCTCACATACAAGGTCTTCAATAATCAGGCCCCATCTTATCTTAATGACCTTGTAGTACCATATCATCCTATTAGAGCACTTCGCTCTCACTCTGCAGGCCTACTTGTTGTTCCTAGAGTATTTAAAAGTAGAATGGGAGGCAGAGCCTTCAGTTTTCAGGCCCCTCTTCTGTGGAACCAGCTTCCAGTTTGGATTCAGGCTCAATCAGGTGACACTGAATCCCTGAGGCTGGTGGGGATTCCCATGATGCACTGGGTGTTTCTTCTTCACTCACTATGTGTTAACAGACCTCTCTGCATTGAATCATGCTTGTTATTAACCTCTGTCTCTCTTCCACAGCATGTCTTTATCTTGTTTTCCTTCTCTCACCCCAACCAATCACAGCAGATGGCCCCGCCCCTCCCTGAGCCTGGTTCTGCCGGACGTTTCTTCCTGTTAAAAGGGAGTTTTTCCTTCCCACTGTCGCCAACGTGCTGCTCATTGGGGTTTTCTCTGCATGTATTATAGTAGGGTATAATATATAATAATATTAGATTATATAATATAAATATATAAAGCACCTTGAGGCAGCCGTTGTTGTTATTTAGCACTGTATAAACAAAACTGAATTGAAAATTTAATTCAATTTAACCTGAACCGCTGAAGTGCTCCCAGTGATGCTTACAAAGGAGTGCAGCATAGTGGAAACACACCCTGTCACAGGCTAACTAAAAATGTGTGGCTGCCATCAAAGTCTGCACAAGCCTATTCTTAAAAAGACCCGGATGTTCTCCTGTTACTGTTTCATTCTAATAAAGTGTTTCAATGGTGTGGACCTGACTCTGATCCGTTTTCACTTACATTTCACACAGTGTGCAGACTTTTTGAAAACTATGTTGTGAATAAAGTCAGTACAGCTGACCAACACTGAGGCTCACTGATGGTTTCAAATTAAAATCTATATTACTGAATGAAAAATGTAGGAATTTTACTTTGCAAATGACTGCTGAAAAGTAGGTTTGATCCTGTTATGATTCATGGATCAAACATTGTGTCACGTTCTTGTTAACTCTATTCAATCCTGATACATATTAATGACAAAGAGGTTGATCCACATACACTTTCAGTCTGGGGAAGACACCAGGCTTCATCAACTTGAGAAGTTTCATCAAAGTGTCCAGCAAGACATGCGCTGAGCTTGACAGGAAGTCCCGCCCCTGCGTTACTGCTGCTACATCTGATTGATAAGAAACAAAGAAAAGTCAGCTGACAATCGAGCAGTTATTCGTGTTGATGGAGGTTCTAAGAAAATGTGCTTCGACACATCCTTTCTGACTGCTAGAAGCTTCAGACTCACTAGTAATGGTCCCAGCCACTGCCAGCACAAACTGGTGCTCGTGGGAGTTGTAGTCCTCAGTTTGACTTTTCTCCTCTTCATCCAAAGACGTGACAAAGCTCTCGAGAGTCTGAGCAGCTACAGCAAGGAAGGCCTGCAGCTTCCCCTGAAGTGTGCGCACGCACACGCAACACACACACACACAATCCAGCAGCATTAACATCTGCTGTTACAAATACTGTTAGATCATGTCTCAGTGACCGACAAAACATGGAGCCAATTTAATTTGGAGAGAGAAGAGAAGGAGCAGAGAGGATGCTCTTTTGTTTGCACTGCATAAAATTATTATGTGGAACGACCAAAATATATGGAGCCATGTTTCTTTTGCATCAAACACTTTAAACAACATATTTTATTGTTTCAGCTAAAGATGTACAACACAGTGGTCAGAAGGTCATTTTGTAATTATACTGTGTTGGTTTGATCAAGCAAGTCAAACTAATTATTGTGCATGCTGGGACAAGTTTGTTACTGTGGAAATGATTTTTGATTTTTTAAAGGCAGATATTTGTTCCGGCTGCAGCCCATTCCCAAAACACTTGTGTCTCCTCCTACTGGGATTAAACTGGGATCTGATGTTCATGTATTGAATACTGTTTCACTTTCAGCTGTGGCTGCACTTTATACAAACGCTACTGACCACTAACATGTATCCCTGTAGCCATATTTGGGGTTTTTGTTACAGGGAAACAAGTCCAAGTCCACACACAGAGACAGAAAAGACTGAACATGACTCACATCAGCCAGCCAAAGTGAGACGGTGTCCTCCTTGGCAGAGCAGCTCCACAGCAGACTGCAGGCAGCAGATCCCAGACCAGAGCAGAAGTCTGCCTGCTGCTGCAGCTCCACTCTGCTCTGCCACAGTTGCTCACGTAACAGCAGCTTTTCCTGAACATCCATTCACGTGGATTCAGTGCAGTGTCACATACAACAAGTAATAAATGACAGCATGGCTTAAAGCAAGACAAGCCCAAATTCATCAAGCAAGTCCAGTTTCCTCAGTGGGATACCAGAAATATTTTCATGTTATTGTTATGAGTCCATTTTCAGGTCTGACTGTCGCTCTCACCTCTTTCTCTTTTTGACTCTCAGTTTGCACAGCATCCAGTCGAGACTGCAGGTGCAGACACTCCTGCCTCATCTGCTCCTTCACAATCTGCTCCTTCACTAAACACACACACAGTTTGAGAGCAGATATTCTTATGTAATGTTTCTAACACTAGTTTTCCACAACATGAAACTTTGTCAGCTTTAAGGTAGAGTTTTGGTCCCATTTTGATTATGTCATAATCTCCCAGTCCTGTAAGAGGCCGGCAACCTCTCCGGAGTATAACCGCCTCTAATTCCAACCCCTGAGACCCTAAACTGAATAAGTGGCTGAGAATCGTGATTTATGACACGGTCTCCATGGTGGCGGTGAGTGTTTACCATGAGAAAGCAGAGACAGGGTTTCACTGCGGTGGTCCTGGGTTTCTGGACCTTCTATGGGTTTGTAATTCTTTTCATTTTCACAGGGACAAAACAACCAGTTAATAGTTAACAAACTTTCTTTAGTGGGGGACACTGAGGCCTGAGCCCTTCATGGAGTGTAGCACACAGGTGAACCAGGGGGAGGACATGATATTAGGGGCCATGGAGTCTAAGCAGTGAATGGCAGTATGCAACTTAAAAGTCCGCGTCTTACACACAGCACACTGTGTGGTCTGTGTGTGCATCTCCCACAGATGTGAACTAGGTTTCATGTAGTAACAGACTTGATGTTCCTGTAAAGGAAGAGGAAAAAGGATAGCATAGTGCTCAGAGATGGACAGGTCAATACAGGGCACATCTCAGGTCCAGTGTGGGACCTCTTAGATGATATGCTGCGTGCTGCTGGAGCAGTCTAACAGTGGCATACATTCTGCAGTAAAGGGGCAGCTGTGAGAGTCAGTATGGGTAAGGAGGCGTGTGGAGGAGGACAAGCTGGGGCTTCTGGGGGTGGTAAACAGGGTCGAGTGGGCAGAAGAATCCGAAATGCTGTCGTGCCAAAAAGTGATTTCTGATTTTTCCCTGCGTTTTTTTTTTTTTTATGTCTAATATCTTTGCTTAGACAAAGATATTAAAGGAAATTTAAAGAAGTTCAGGCGCCTTCTTCCAGGCTCCTTAGACCACCATGAGCTGGATGACTGAGCACCTACACAGATAATCAGACCAGTCCTTTGGGTCACTTCAAATACCTTTATAGAGCTGTCACGTTATATTTGGCGCAGTGCTAGAGCCCTCCTGAAAAGGACATTTTTAATGTCAATAAATGGGTGAAAAACCTTAAGTGCAGCGTCTATCATGCAGGCAGGTCAGTGAGAAAAATAAATGACATCTCGGGGGTTTTCAGCCTCAGCACAACCTTTATCATCCCCGTGATGCATTCACGGTGGTGCTGATATTTCAGCATCTCTGCAGCGCTATCGAGGAGGAGCGACGGGAAAAAAACGCGTGTGACAGATGGAGGAAGATGTCACAAAGAGAGGAAACGGAAAAACCTTACATGTGATGACTGATTCGTTTTAGACTTTTAAATCACACGTGATGTTTTGCTGAGCTGGCTTTTTGTTCGTGTTTTTCAAAGGTTGCATGGAAACAGCAGGCGGCTGGTTAGAGTACGGCGGGGTTCGTAAAGAGCGCTTCTCAGCTTTGTCGCGATGACGTCTGCGCCTGTCAGAGGACATCAAGGAGCATGCTCAGTGTCACGAGAGATTTGATGACATCATCATCATCCAGGAGCGAGGTGATGGCAGAGATCCAGCAGAGCCGACGGGACATATTTCATGGTCGCCATGTCGGAGCACAAGCAGCTAGTTAGCAAGTTAGCCTCTGTGCCAGAGCCAGAGAGACGGGGAGCACCACCCTAAAGCCAGGCCGTGACAGGCGGAGGCCAGGATGCTGGCAGATCGGGCTGCTCTCAGAAGAATGGTCCAGTGGAAAGCAGCGGGGGTGACAAACAGCCGGACACAGCAGCAGGTGAGGACACCAGGCACCTAACAGCACCCAAGATACTGTCTCCATGTCTTTAGGAGAATTTGTGGAAATACCACATATTCACTAGTTTGACAGGCAGGAAATACTATTTTTGTACCCCCACCCCAAACTGCTGAAAGCTGGGAACCTGGCATAGCTCGGCGTGGTGTGCAATGTCTTCCAAAAAAAGACACGACCCAATTCTTCTTATATTACCACAACATACTGTGGTGAGACAACATCCTTCGTGAATAGCAGTGCTAAATGCCTGTGCAGGTCATGGTAACCTAAGGAGCTTGGAAAGAAAAGCAACTGGACTTCTTTAAGGTTCTTGAAGATGTTTGAAGAAACTGGTGGAGAGTCCCAGGTGGCTCACAATACCAGTTGTCTGCCACCTACAATCCAGTTTGGAGATCCCTTCCCAGGCACCTTAACAACCACTCACATCTTGCCAGTTGACCTCAACAGGTCAGGTGAATTGGTGAAGCAAGGTCTCACGATGGTCTCACCCGAAACCTCTGCTGATAATGACCCACACCCTTTTTCACACCTTGACTCATGTGGTGAGACACATGATCAGCAGTGGGTCAACTCCCACTAGGGTCCCACCGGGGACTCTCTTAGAACCGAAGAAGCTTCTCGGATGAGAGGTGAAATGTCTTCAAGAAACTTAAAGTCCAGATGCTTTTCTTTCCAAGCTTCTTAGATCAACAGTGCTGTATATTTACTGGGTCAGGCCCGGGTCAGAGTAGAAGATAAAATGAGGCTAATGAGAAAGCAGGTGCACCTGGCTTTCCTTATCACCTGTGAGGGCTGTTAAACAGACCTGGCTCCACTGACATTAGACAACTCTGTCTCTCTGTAGCTGGATGTCTTCAACAAGCCTTCAGGTTTATACATTAACTGTATATGTTCTGCTCTGTGATACACACAACACCCTCGTGTTTACAGCAGGATCAGAGTGGAGTTCAGCATACTTGTCTGAGCTGCTCGGGCTTTATGCAGCATCTCCATCAGATCCCCATTCACAACTCTGGGCAGGAACTCTCTAAGCTGCATGACTTCTGTGGTCAACTTCTCTAAATCTCTCTTCCTCACTCGGATAAAGCCACCCTGGAAGAAAAAAAGATAGAAAAAGACTGCATCCTTCTTTGCCACAGATGCGCTCATTTAATTGTGCTTTTTTAGATTCTAAGTAATCCATAGACAGACAAGGAAACTATTAAATATGCACTTGAGACCAGGCAGAGTGTGATAAGGGCTCAGTGTAAACTGCTATCACAATGAAGCATGTCTGTAGGATGGCCTAGAAATAAGCAATGGGGACAAATGAATAGAAAACACAGAAGGAAAGTCTTAGGTATGTGTTGGCCGACCATGTTCTGCAATATCAGCTTCAGTGCACTGATTCTCTGAGTTTTAAATAATCACCATCATTTAAGAGGTCTCTGCTGAGTTACTGGTTTAACTTAATTAAGTTCAGACAGACTTTACAGTGTCTCCAGAACAGAGACATTTCCTGTAGTTTCTTCATTGAAATTATGCACAGCCCACATTTTTAGTTTTATAATGTAATGTAAGTCTACAGTGTCATCTCAGGGTTTGAGCACACTGCCTAAAGATGGCTCTGTCACTCAGATAGTTGTATTTGAATTATAACAAGGTTAAAGGTTTAGCTGCTGGCTTGAAAAAGTCCCACTTTTATTAGCCAGGTACGCGTTTTAACTCTGTACTTGTAGTAACCACTATCACAGATTCATCGAACACTGAGAGGCCCAGTCTTTGGACTCCAGCCGGTCTGACGAGGACAAAGCTAAAGATGCCGTCTTTGTTCTCCTGATTAGCAGGAACAGCAGGCAGGTTCGTCCGGGGCTGGCTGGGTGTCTTACCTTTGCCTTTTGGCTCGTCTTTTTCCCGCCTGATAAGGCTGCCATGTTACTGCTGGTTGGTGAGTCTGCTTCTGGGGTCACAGAGACCAGCACTCAGTTTATTACACAGCTAGCAGAGCTAGCACGTTAGCTAAGAAATGTTTCTGAATCCACAGACAGAGGTTTGAGTTGTTTAGTGCCACATCACCAATGTTTTTGAATATATTGGACACATAAAGATGCTCACCAGTGGTGTGAGTCAAAGGACTGAGGACCTGTTCCTGGCCGCTTTTTAGCGCAGACCGCCCCAAACACACGGGACGTAGCTGTGAGGCGGGCTCCAGTCCGGGTTTTACGGCCTGCGAGAGAGCTGGGCTCTTCCTTTGTGTTTGAACTTCTTCAGTGTGCTCCGTGGGACCGGTGCGGTGGAGACAAGCGCTTCCGTTTGCCCTCTCTCAGCTCACTCATGTCTGGGGGACTAGAAGCCCGCTTCTCCGGGGATGACGTGTTTGTGAGCCGCTTCCCAGTGCACCGTGCCTGCCGGGATGGAGATGTTGGGGCTCTGGTCCTTCTGTTACAGCAGCTGTCAAACCACATCCATCTAACTGCCGAGGACTCCTTCTATGGATGGACTCCCATTCACTGGGCTGCTCACTATGGACAGGTTAGCATGCAATCACTGGGTATTCAATAGTGGTGTCCATGAAACACGAAAGAGGGTTAAAATAGGTGTGCACTTTTGCCTGCTGCTGTGAACTGTAACCACACTGTGTGTATTATATGTTTAAACTCCAACATGGCGGCGGACAGCGCTCATAATCAAGCTAAAAGATTTTTTCCTCTTTAATATTTCGCCGCGCTCCTTTACTGTGTTTGATTGGCCCAAACAGTTATGTCTGAGTACCGGCGTACAACAAAGGTTTTTTAAAGACAAAAAAAAAAAAACTTGACGTGTTTGGAGGTTTTCATTGGTTCAGTAGGAGCCAATCGCTTTTTAGGCGCCAAAATCGGCTCAAAACAAACACGAAGCCTGCGACGCCGCAACAGCCTCTGTTCTCTAGAAATATAAAAACTTGCTCTGTTTTTTTTATTTTATTAGATGATTAATTACTTCTCGTACGATTCTGATCTTCTTCATTTTATATCACTGTCTTTACCAAAGCTCTGCTAGAAGCGTCTCTTCAGCCACCTTGAAATATCTCCAAACACTTACTGGGCACATGTTTTAAGCAGTGTCTGGATGTACTTAAACTTTTTGCTTATACGTCCCTGTAAGCGGACCTTAAGTGGGATTTTTAAATATGTCTAACAACCAAAGTCAGCTGAAGCCTGCTTTGAGAACAGCACGCTGTACAATACTCAGGTGATATACAAGGAGAACTGTTGGAGATTTCTTACAATGAAAGTGCGTCAGTGCAGAGGTCTCCTCTGAGATCTGCAGCAGTGACATACATGAGCAGTGTGTCACTGTGATTCTTGTATTTGTTACTGGCATGTGGCACAGCTGGAGTGCGTGATGCACCTGGTGGAGATGGGCTGCGAGGTGAACAGGGTGACCAGCCGATTCAATCAGACTCCAACACACACTGCAGCATTCGGAGGACATCCTCACTGCGTGGTGTGGCTCACTCAGGCTGGGGCTGACGTCAACAAGCAGGTCAGTGTGTGGAAACTCACCTATTGTGTAGTATTTAATGCTTAATGTGGTGCTGTTTGCATCTATGAGTGTTATCACTGAATATTTGAATCTAGGGACCTCTGGTTTATGCATCTGCTGTACTTAAGTTAGATGAAGTTCATTTTATTGACAGTGTCTCCAGCGTTGTTCACACTAAATATGTACTTGTAGTCATGGTAAGGTTTTGGGACTGAACTTGTACTTTCAGCAAAGCTGAAAAGATAATTAGAAATGGATGCAGAGTTCACAGTGCCAGCAGTACTCATGAACCCGAGCTCTTCCATCAGTGGCCCAGGCGTGGGTCGACAGGGCAGGAGCTTTCACTGCTGCTGGTCACCTTTTATTTCAAAAGAGCAGTGCACAATAATCTGAGCAGTGTCACCACAGCTGCAGTCCTGTGACTGTGAACATTTTCATATTATGATATTGTCTCCTAGAGTTCGATTGGTCAGTAATATTAGTGTCATTTTTGCATGTCTATAACACAGTTGGCTTGTGCTATTCTAACAGCTTCATTCATATCTCAAACCTTACAGTTTACGTTGTGTTTTCAGGACTTTGTTGGTGAGGCTCCCATTCATAAGGCAGCTCGGTCAGGTAGCTTGGAGTGTATCCAGGTCCTTTTGATAGCAGGCGCTAAACCGCAGTAAGTATCCTGCAGTCTTCGGCTTAGTAGTAATATCCAGTGTAAAGCACCACAGAAGCTCTGGCACACAGAGTGTGAACCACAGCAGCTGCTACACGTCTTAGATTTGAGTCATGTAGGCCACACATGCTCAGCAGGTCTGGTCAGAATAACTACAGCTTTTATTTTTACTGTGAAATTTACTTTAGTGGGAAATCCTGCAGCTCAGTGCTGTGCTTCAGATATCCCGCCTGAGGTAAACCCAGAGGAGGAGGAGGATGTGGCATCAGCCAGCATAATTTCTGCTGACTTGTTTTTGTTTTCCTGATTAACAGGCTGCGTTTGGCGTTCTTTAGTGCTGCGTGTTTCCTCATGCTAACAAAGATCAGCTGCTGTGGTTCTGCCATGTTTTCTGTTGTCCTGAAATCTTATTCTTAGTGTCTCATCAGCTGTTGGGAGGGAACAAGCCACAGTGGTCTACTGTTAACATCCTCGCAATCATTTTCCATCTGTCATCACCAAGATGAAGATGTAGTGAAGTTCTGGTACAAACAGGTGACATGAAATAGTCTCAAGATCCTTGATTCAAAAAAAAAATAAAGTAATTGTCCTTAACTGTCCATAAGGAAGTTACAGCAGAAAAATAATGGCCTCAGGTTCTATTAATACTTAACTTAGTGAGAACATAATGATAAAGACCAGTTAAAATCTGTGCCAAAGCTTGCTTTATTGGACAAATCCAACTCATAATGCCATATGTTTTACAAATCTTTGAACTGAGATAATCTATCACTTTAAGAAAAATACGAGCTGATTTTGGGTGTGACGGCAGCAACACTTCACAAAGAGTTGGGATGTTGGATTGGAGTGATCAGAGGTTCAAAGCAGAAACAGCTGGAGGAAGAATTTACAGTTAATCAGCTGGTAACAGAGAGGGACACGTTCAAAGAAGTAAAGGTGGACAGAGTCCATCAGTCTGCAGAAAACTGCAGGTTCAGAATAATGTTCCTCACTGTGAACATGTCATCACGGACAGTAATGATGGAGCTGATTCACAGCTCTGCGTGTCATCCACACACGCAGGATAAAGCTCCATTATGCAGAGAAGAAGCCAGATGTGGAGTGGGGTTGCATCAGTGCCTGTGGACAGCCTTTCCAGATATGCAGCTGGCACATCTGGAAAGGCTCCATCAGTGTGTGAAAGTACATACAGGTTTTAGAGCTGTAGAGGTGTTCCATCCACGTGTTTCAGGGAAGCAGACGGCATCTACTCCAGCATCATGGCTCATTGTAGAGGAGTCCGTCTGCAGAGCTGGCCTGCCTGCAGCCCAAACTGTTCACCAACTGAGAACATCTAGTGTGTCATGAAAGCAGAGCCAGGACTGACCAGAGCGGGACACTGGTCCTCTCCCAAACGTGCAGCAGCCGCTCTCCTCAGCTCACACGTGTTTACAGACTGTAGTTAAAAGAAGGCAGGAGGCTGCACAGTGATGAACGTGGCCCTGTCCCCCTTTGTTGCTGCCAGCACATTCATAATGACCTTACTGTTTTTCAGACGGTTCATTTTAGTTTAAAAAATGTTTTCTGTGAATCAGAGTTTACGACGTTCTGCGTCGTACAAAGTGTCCCACTATTAAAACGTGTTTCAGTGGCTGTTCCCTCCAGTCAGCTCATTTGAGTGCCATTTGCTTTAAAGAGTGATAGTAATGTTGTGTGTGTTGTGTTTTGTTCAGCAGCGGCTCAGGTAAAAATCCTCTGGCATGTTTGTCATGATGCACAGCGGAGAAAAGTAGTGAGTGTAAAAGCAGAAAAGCTCATGTTTTTATGCCTGCATGTGGCACAGCAACAGCAGTTGAACATGTAAATATGCTGTGCTGTAATATAAATGGAGACAGTTACACCACCTGAGACTCCATAATAAGAGGAAAACACAAGAACAGTGATCAGACTGTGGCCTTTGTCTTTGCTTTCTCCTGAAAACTACACTCATTTATCATTTAGGCTTTTACCTTAACCTACTGTTGTAATGAAAGCAGAAAGTTCTCAAGAGACCGTTAATAAAATTATAAAATATTTAATAAAAATGATAAAGTAGCTGGGGCAGTAAAGCAAGGAAACATGGCTCTCCATTTACTGAGCAAAAATATTGAGAGACTGTTTAGTCCATCGGTGTCAATACCTGTAGACCATTTTTTAAATTATTTTTATTAAATATTTAGTCTCAGAAATGTTCTGCTTTTATTGAGTTTTTCCTTTTGATCTCTTTTCTGATGACCCTCTGATGGGACGTGATTCTTGACCAACACAGAGCGCCTACAGGGGGCGCTGTAGCGTTCTGTGTTGAAGTCTGGCTGCTGTGAATGTTTTAAATGGAGAGAGGAGCTGTACCTGTCAGTACCAGCAGAGTTTCTGATCTCACTCACTGAGCTCTGCAGTGCGTGATCCTGTCAGCTCGGCTGCTTTTCCTTCTCAGCTCCCACTAGATGACACTGAGCTTCCAGGCTGGACGACTGTATTCCAGGAAGTCCTACAAACTCCCTGAAAAGCCTTCAGCTGATCCAAAATGCTGCAGCAAGAGTCCTGACAGGGACTAGAAGGAGAGAGCAGATTTCTCCTGTATTGGCTTCCTGTTAAACCCAGAATTCAAAATCCTGCTCCTCTAAATAAAACTGAAAATGAGAGCAACAGCAACCTCTGCACTCACGTTATGGTGGTTACAACCTGACGCAGCTGCTCTCTGTGTGTTACTCTCACTTTCTGGATTTGGTCTAACGCTGTAGCGTGCTTGACCCCACTTCCTCAACCTCTTCTCTATATCTGCCTTACCAGCCGGTGAGAGAGATGGAGCGCGGCTGAGGACGACTGACGAGTAGTGACTGATTTCATTCTCATGCAAAGAGTTTTTTTGATGGTTTAAATGAATTTTTTTAGGCCAGTTTCCAGGGAAACCATTAACTGTCTAATGACTTGAATGTCCTGTAGAAATAATACGACTACTTTACAGAATCCTTGACAAAACTGATACAGATTGAAATGTTTCTGCTGTTATTAGCAACTGTAAACTGATTCATGCGTCCACTAACCTACCAAATAACCACTGAACACAGTATTATTAATGTATTTAATACTCACTTGAATGTCTTTGTAACTTTTCCCAAGAGAAATCAGAGCTTTGAGACTCAAACGTGAGTACTCACATGAGCTTTTCTGCTCAAGGCATTTGCACACTCGTTGAAGGACATTTTAACTGTTTTGAAATCAATATAAAGATGTGTTTTTGCAAAATGTTATATATTATGTTAAAAAAACAAACAGCTGTGATCTTGATTGTCAAATTGTGCTGGCAGAAACAAACACCCTGCACGTTGTGATGTTTTTCAGCCTTTGAGTTTGAACTTGATTTTCTGAAGTTGTCCCAGAAAGAGGGAGCAATCCAAATAGGCACTGCAGAATCTGCCACACGTGCATCTGCGAGCAGCTTGCAGTTGTGCCACTGAGTGCTCACTATCGCTTCCCACAGTTTCTGCAGCTGGCAAACTGGCGAGGTATTTCCTGCAGTGATTGGTTTCAATGCTAACAAAGCACTCACGATGACTGTCATGTTTAGGCATGCATGCTTAGCTCTCACCTCACTGTTTACATACTGTGTGCTAATGGGACACGCCTCAGCCTCACTAATGATTGGAAGCTTAGTCTCAGGAGTACGTCAGAGTGCAGCGCTGTGCTGTGCAGCGCTGTGCTGTGCAGCGCTGTGCTGTGCAGCGCTGTGCTGTATGTTACAAAGACAACGGAGCAAATTGGACAGAAAAAAATAGATTTGTGTCAGAATTTGCAGCAGGTAAACATACCTGTAAAATGAAATGTCTATTTTTGTAGGTTTTTAACCAAATTACATCTGCACTCACTGGCCACTTTATTAGGTACTCCAGAGGAAAGAAAAGCTTTGACTTGATCTCAGCATGTTTGAGAGGTTATGTGGAAACATCTGTGGATAATCAGAACTTGATCTGTGGTTTTCTACAAAGCACAGCTCATTTCCTAACGATGACTCACTTCTCCTTCTGTTCAGGGCTTTCAAACCCAAACCACCCCAGCATTACAGAACAAAAGCTTCAGCGCTGTGAGCTTACTTTAGAACATAATCGAAGCTTAGAAATCACAAAAGCATGATCGTTTTCATGACAGCACAGATGTACTGTGTAGGATATCGGAGCAAAATGTTGGCGATTCCTGTGTCCTGATTGGTCCTCCAGTTTCAACCTGATGTTGTTCTTTTTCATTTAGGACCATGCATAGACCACATCTCAGACGGTTAGAATATTAGGGGAAACCGCCTCTGTTCTTCATCATTTCATTCAAAAACCTAAACTTTCATATCTTCTACACTCCTTGTATCCATTCTCAGCCGAGCCGAATGTTCACAGCGGTGCAGACGCTGCTCAGCATCACCCATCAAAGTGAAAAAGTGCAGCGGAAGATCAGTCAGAAAAGTCCAGCTTCATTTATACGTGGCTGAGACTTCACGAGTGTGGAGGGGAGGTGTTACTGCTCTCCAGGTTGCTCTGATGGCCTTTCTGGGTTTTTGGGTCGGCTGGTTCTTGTTTTCCTCTTCACATAATCTCTATAGCTCAGGTCAGGTGAGTCGGCTGCACATCACTCGCTGGGCCCACGTCCTCATTTTAGGTTTGACAGCATTTTAGCAGGTAAAGGTGATGCTTGGACATGAACTGAGCTGCGGTTTGGGGAAGGCCTCGAAGGGGACTGGTGACGGCTCCCGGGCCTGGCAGATCCCCGTGTACTAAATAGAAGTGAAGAAGTTAAGGAATTGAGAACAAGGAAGGAGGGAGGGCACGTAAAGGAGAATGAGCAGTTTGCAGAACTGGGGGAACCTCTGTAGATGACAACTAGAACGAGCGTGTTTGGAGGCGTGGTCCCACTCCTGAAATACCGAAACATGATGTCGATAAATGAGTGTCTTCACAAAGCTAATGAGAGAAGCATGAAGAGCTCCAACGTCTGCTGGTAGATGTCTGTGTTGACTTTGGAGCAGCACCAGGAGGTGACATGTGAGCAGGGATCTCAAACTATTGACGTGAAGAAATATAATGCAACTTGGCATTGGAAATGTTTGTTGTTGTTGTTCTGTGCTACTTGAACACTAGCGTGAGATGGCAGTGGCCCACAGCTCATTTCAGTTTGAAAAGAAGACTCTGGACCTTCTCCTCCTCCTCCTGAGATGCGCTGCTCTGTTATCTCTGGTTCAGGCTTGATCTGACCTCAGCCCACTCCTGTCAGGCTCTCCCAGGTTCTTGAGATGACTTTTCTTGACACTGATTTCGAGGCTGAGGTCATGTCTGCTGCACCTTTTCCTGCCGTGCTTTTCCCTTCCGGTCCACTTCCATGGAGATGCTCCAGTACGGCTGTGAGCAGCCTTCTGTGGCTGCTCATGGATCCTTCTCAAACGTGACGTCAGCAGTCAGACGGTGTACGTCCTCGAGACTGTCTGAACCGTAACTTCCTCAAACTCGACATGAAATATTCTAATAATCTGAGATGCTGGAGTGCAAATTTTCAGAATGAAAACAAACAGGTTGAAATGTTTCATTTTGCATGAAATGAATGTAGAATATTAACAATACAAAAAGAACATTATTGATAATATCCAGATTGTATTATATCCAGTTTTGGGAGGCATGCACACGGCTTTCACATCTGTGTGATAGACAGGAAAATAAACAGTTTGAAACACGGCCTGTCGTCTTTAGCTGAAACGTGGCGGTGATCGCGGTCCTGCTGTGTGTGAGTGGGCAGGTTAGTCACAGCACGTGTTGCAGGGTGAGACCATCAAGACTCGGACTGGTTTTCTTCGATCGTGATGGTTTCTTCTTGCAACATTAGAGCTCTGATGGTTTGAGGTGCTGTTACCCAGGATGCACTTTGTCTGACTTCATTCTTATTGTTTAGTTTAGAGAATGCAAGCGGGCAGACGGCAGCAGACCTGGCCCACGCTCAAGGCTTCCACGACTGTTTCTGCTTCATCTCCAACGCCCAGAAGCACCTGCAGCAGCGTAACGAGGGGAACATAGTGCAGAATGGAGGCGGCGCCCCCTGTGGTCTGGGCGCGCTCAGCAGAAAGAGGCAGCTAGCCGCCCTGGACGCGGGCCACCTGAAAAAAGCCAAAAGGGCTGATGGTAAGAAATGTTTACGTGTCAGGCGTGTGCGCGGTGCTTGCTTGTTTGCTCTTCTCATCGTGCTGTGCTGCAGGTATGCTGGTGCAGAGCAGCGCGCTCGAGGAGCTGGAAGCCATGAGCCTGGAGCTCAGCGCAGGTGGGTTTGCTCTGCGTGGCAAAGCAGCAAATGGCTACAACAATATCACATGATCTACCTCTGATCCCATTTTCTCTGCTGCTGTGTTTAAAAGCAGATTTCAACAACGGGCATCTCCACGCTGCGCCTCCTCCTCCGCTCTCTCCAAACTCTCACTCTCCGCCACGTTGTCGGCGGGCTTCAGCCGAGATGTGCGGCTCGCTGCACCTGAGCAGCAGCCCGGGCGGCTGCGTCTCCAACTGGCCCGCGTGCCTGGGGCCAACCGGGGTGGACTGTGGGGATTTCTTGCATTATGGACACTACCATGGCTTTGGCGACACGGCCGAGGAGCTGAGTGACAGCAGCTGCATCCGGGCGGAGCATCCATCCAAGCAGGCTGTGGATGGCAGCATCCACCTATACCACGGCTCATAAACCGGAGGCTTCGTCTGCAGGCAGATGTGCTTCCACTAAACTTTAAAGGATTACCCTGGCGATCAGAAGTAATCCTCCTGTGCCTACAGCCCACAGCCAGGACGAGTCAGGCTCACACTGACTCAGCTGGGTGGTGAAAAAGCTGCTTCCAAAAATAATCTTCAGGGATGGATTTCTGTGACATCACACTGTAGGGCAACACTATTCTCATAACTCGAGTTAACTTGGTTCTCTTGGTTTAATCAGCAGCGTCTCTGCAGCCCTGTCCTCACAGTGGCCTTTCAACCACGGACAGCTGGTGGGAATATTTCACTCGTCTTTGTGCTAAGCTGGTTCAGAGCAGTAGCACGGTGCTGTGTGGGTGTGGAACTCGTCCCGTCTGCTGGGGCCTTCATTAACCCAGGTGTTTACTGCTCTGGGCTCAGGAGTGACCTCCTGCTCACCGTGTTACCTCAGGAGTGTCGCTGAACTGCACGGAGGCTGAAAACTGTTTTAGATCTCACTGTAATTTCATGAGGCTTAAACCATTTGTTTTGTACGACGGTTGTAGAGGCGCCGATTTTCCACTGTGTGACACACGACCTTACACTGACCTGCATTTGTACTCAATAAAACCTGTTTTACATATAAGACAGTATTTGTGCATGTTTTGATTTTTATCACACAAATACATTAACGTAGTTTAAACATGTTTGAGTTAAATGTCAGACGGTTTTCTACAAGGTGCCATCAGGCCGCCTGAAGAGAAACTCAGAGATGACGTCACTACGTGGGACAGCGCCGCTGTGACACCAGCCTGCGCTCTAGCTGTGTATAAAGAGCTGTGCTCCACATTCGTGGACGACACAGTGCACTCAAACTTGTGGCTGCTGGATTTATTTTGCCCGTCTACATTTATATTGACCCCAGAGATAATGCACCTGCACTGCCTCTGGGATCATCTCAATACTCTCCCTGCAGTCCAGGTTTCTTCTCTCAGACGGCACTTTGGGTTCATGCTGATCATTTTCTGCTTTCTTGTGCAAATTCACTAACCTGAGGAGTTTGAGTGTCCCGGCCGCCAGAATGAAGGATCATTTTTGGTGTATGTTCTGTCTGTATGTTATGACTTGTTAGAAAGTTGTAAACCTCCACGAGCAGCAGAACAAAGCAGTGTCTGTCCATGAAGACATTCATAAAAACAGCTTTATTCCCAATCTTAAACAACACTTTACAGAACAGTTCATCAGCACGGCCCAAACATGGATGAATACAAAGACCAGCACGGTCACCGCCTCAGGTCCAGCTTAATAGTCTTCTGCAGACTGGCTATGCTAGCGTCCAAAGCTGCCAGGCCGTCTCTGAACGCTGCTTCGTCTCTGGTGTCAAAGGTCAAATCAGACCACACAGACTCCGTTTCACTCTGGGACAGCGTGGAGTTAAACAGCTGCCTGCGAGCGTCCTCTGGCTGCAGGGCTTCACCTGGACCAGCGGACCGCTCACGATCAGACTCGGGCCGAGTCCCTGCACGATCTTCTCTCCTCTGAGCTGTGACGTCTAGATGTGCCGAGTCTGAATCTCTCTCTGCATCCACACACTGCACTGGCGCTATCTGGCTAAGAGACTTCAGGTATTGGGCGATGTGGTCAGTAGGGGGCGCTGGCATCCGTCTGTGCTGGTGTTGGCTCGTCTCTGACACAGAGCTGTCAACAGCATGATCTGCTGAGAGGAGACTGAAGCAGAAGACGACATGAGTGAGGAACAGTTCTGAATCGTGTCACACTTTCAGCTGTAGGGCTCATTCTGGGGGGTGACGCCCACCCACACAGGCCCACCTGTGGAGGTGCTCCATCTCCTTCAGCCTTTGTTGTGCCAGCGAGGCCAGCTTACTCCTCTCCCGCTCACTGTCCAGTAACCTACTCTTACTGGCCTCCAGCTCTGCACGCGCACACACACACACACACACACACACACACACACACACACACACACACACACACACACACACACACACACACACACGATGTTGTTCATGGCAGTGTCTTTCACTTTGATAATGGAGGTGATTTCATCACAAAGAGCCCACAGCTCAGATCATCAGCAGGACTCACTGCGAGTGCGTACCCATCTTAACGAGTGCAGTTTCAGCCTCTCGGTCTCTCAGCTGGCTCTGTGTGTCCTGCAGGGTTTGCCGTAGGTCCGTCAGGTCATCTTGGAGTTCCTGCAGCCTGGACTGAGCAGCAGTGAGCTCTTCCTGAAGTCTCTGCCCTGTGGAGACCTTTTCAATTACTCCCCAGTCAGTTAAAGCTTTTTACCCTGACTGACCAAACTGAACCCAACAGTAAAATCACAGTGTGTCTGTTGTTGGGTTTACCTTAGTGTGACGCAGCTCGAGCTGACTGTGTTATTTTAATACAAATGAAATAAATACACAACTATTTATGACTGTCACACAATTTACAGTTACAGAGCATCGCCTGGTTCTGATGTCTCTCCATCTCTGGCTGCTGGTCCAGGTTCCTCACACACCTAGGACACACACACACACACACACACACACGTACGTTATACCAAAAACGTCAGAGTCCAGTGAAGTGAAGGACGTCGTGTGTCTCACCTGTGCAGGTCTGACACACTCTGGATGTTTGAAGCACTATTATTCATCTGTGCTGTGGACACCATCTGCTCCAGATGACTGAGTAGGCTCTCTGCTACACTGCCTGACACACACACACACACACACACAGTGTGACATCGTCAGCACGTGTGACACAGAGGCTCACGTCCTGTGTGTGACTACAGCAGAAGTCCACGTCAGCAGAACTTTGCTGAGCTCCCACATCAGTGACATGTAGCTTAGTGTTCGATGCATTCAGGTATCACAGAGGTTGTGTTTGTGTGAGTGATGTCTGGCAGGGTCCAGGGGTGAGATGCACACAGTCACTTTACCTTGTCCAGCAATCAGAGGCTTGAGTTGTGCGAACAGATGCTGAAGCTTGTGAGCTTTTGTTTGTGCCTCAGTGTTGCTCTCCTCAGCCTGTCCAGGCTCCAGCTGGAAGTGTGCCATCTTCATACTGCAGCTGTCTCCGTGTGCATGTGTGAGAGTGTGTGTGCTGGGGCTCTGGGTGTGCGTGTCTCTCACAGGAACAAACTCTGGTGCTTCATCACACGCAGTGCGAGGCGTCTCAGAGTCAGGCCGGCAGGCAGTCCGATGGCTCGAGAGAGAGGAGGACTGACGCACAGACAGAAGGACGGACGCCTCGTGCCGGGGCGGACTGACGGTGCGAGGAAGAAGCCGAGGTGAAAGTAAGTGAGACTGCAGCTGGGTGGGACATGGTTTCTGAGGTGGATGTAGCTTCACTCCTGAATGTGGTGCAGGACGGGCAGACGGGTGTCCTCGTGGAGTTCTGCTGTCCGATCCATGCCGGCCTGACGCGCTCTTCTGGCCTGGAAGGTGGAGGAATGATTAACATTAGACTTTCTACACGTGTTTTCTCACATATTTATAAAGCTGCATCTGCAATCCTGCCTGATGTGTGCATCAGCCAATCAGTTTGTTGGTGCTCATGTCCTGATTGATTGTTAGTGATTGATTAAAAGAATGAGCTTCCTCCAAAGGGTGGCTGGGCTCTCCTCTAGTGTGAGAGTAGAATTTCAGTCGTTCAGGAGGGACTCGCAGTGGAACTGCTGCAGTTCCACATCAAAGGGAGGAACCTGAGGTGGCTCATTATGATGCCTCCTGGGTGTTTGGGCATGTCCCACGAGAAGGCGGCCCTGGCACATCACACACTGGAAAGACGATATCTCTAAGCTGGCCTGGAAATGTCTTAGTGTTCCCCCAAATGAGCTGCAGGAGGTGGCTGGGGAGGGACGTCGGGGGTCCGTTCTTAGTCTCTGCCCCATGTGACCAACAGGACATGGATGGTTCAGCTCTACTTTTGAGGGGCTCCTAGAGGCGGCTCTAAGCAACTGTTGCTAAGTTATAAGCCTTGAATCCATTTTCCAGGACAAATGAACGAAAATCCTAAAAGCTTTTGGACACCATCAATGTAATCCTGTCCTCTGCAGTTTATAGTCCCACAGTGGAATTAACACGAGACCTTTATGTCATTTAGTTCTCAGCGACTGTCTTGTAAGAGTGTGCAGTAAAGCAAACCTCGAACACGCCCACCTGCCTTTGGAGGCCCTTTCTTCAAGCTCTTTTTCCCCGTTGATGTGGAAAGCCTTGGTTTGGCTGCTGCACTGCTTACTGTTCTGTGAAGCCTCGGAGACACTTACACACACACAGAGTACTATTATGTTGCATTCAACCAGTAAGTGTTGGACAGATCTAACTTATACAGAAAATCCTCAGTGTAACCACACAGGAACAGGTTGATACTTTAAGCTTTTGTACTGTGACTTGTAACAAGCTGAGCTGATCTACAGCATTAGGAAGCTCCTCTGACCTGCCTTATCAGCCTGAAGGATCCCACTGAGCAGGGCAGCACAGCGGTCCAGGCCCTTGTGCAGACTGATGACCTGGGGGCAGACACGTCCGGTTTATTGACATGTGTTCAGACACCGAGCCGATGATGCGGTAGTGTGGGTTAGTGGTTTGTCTGTCAAGCCTTCTGACTTTGTGGAAGTGCTAGATTTCCTCTGTTCACCTCCCCATGTTTACTACCCTGAGGTGTGTGTTGTGGCAAAGACTCGGTCATGCCTGGATGTGATACCCGTCCTAGATGACACTGTTAATATTTAGTACTGCTACACAACCAGGTGAATAAATCCTGAGAACTCATAATAAAAGTGTTAGCTTCACATGTCGCCACCCGTGGTCTGCGTATACATAATGTGGGCGGGGCGTGAACGGTCTCATCACCTGGCCCTCGGAGTCGGTGGAGTACAGGGAGTAGGCGGGCTCAGGGCAGGCAGCTGTTCCTGGATTTAAGCTGGCTCTGAAAACAACAGTGAGGAGAGCGCTAACAGGCACACGTACACATGCAGACACAGAAAACGCTACATGAAGGCGGGTGTACTCACAGACCCCCTCTGGCTGCTCCCGTCAGCCTTCCTGACGTCACCACCTGCCGGTCACAGAAACCACGCGTGAAGCCTCACACCTGTCTCTGACAGTGGAAGCTCTGACTGCGTGTTCATTCAGTCCTACCTTGCGCTGAGCTCTTCCTCTCATGGTCTCCGCCAGCCTGAGCGCTGCCGCCGTTACTCGGATTCAAGCACTGCGCGCTGCAAGTTCTCGGCTCGTTTAGAGCTTCCGGTTCAGAGCGCGTTTGAAAGGGAAAACATTAAAACCGTCCAATCAAATTGCTCCCTTCACAAACGACAGGCTCAACTGCCCCGCCCCGTAGGTCCCGGATGAAGGCGGCTGCGGGGCTGCCGTTTTTTGTTTTAACAAAAACTTGGCGCAGCAAATCCTTCAGACTCAGCAGCGCTACAAACAGACACGAGCAGAAAGAAAAGGACCAGCAGTACATGCTGACAAGAATCAAATTATTGAAATAATAATTCAAAAAAGTAAATTACAAAACAAAATTAGATGAAATGTGCGGTTGGCTTAACATTTTTGGACATTTTATGAATTTCAAGGGCGAGTTTTTAAATAACGGCATTTGTGTACAAAAAATTGACCACAGATTATTCTAACATTTAATTTAA